TTCCGTGTTTTTTGGTGTCAAAATGTTCTATTTATTCGTAGGACAGTTGTTCTCAGATTTACGATTTGTAAAGAAAAATAATCTACGTTTAAATGTTAACTGTCGTAGAACTCAGTCTGAACCTATTATTATGAGCAACATAATATCAAACAATCTCTTTTTTGCAAGATTCAAATCTCCTGTTACACCCGTCCTCTGAAGTTAAAACAAAAAATCTGGCGGCATTTTGCCTTCAAATGTTTTTACTCATAATGCTTTATATATATATATATATATATATATATATATATATATATATATATATATATATATATATATATATATATATATATATATATATATATATATATATATATATATATATATATATATAAAGCATATCTTATGCTTTATATATATATATATATAAATATATATATATATATATATATATATATATATATATATATATATATATATATATATATATACAGCATTATATATATATATATATATATATATATATATATATATATATATATATATATATATATATATATCAAATAACGCGTCTTCCAAATGACAAGATGTGAACATCGAAACTATCATAGCGTTAATTATGTTGAATGAGACGACTTGTTCTTGATATAGGTGGCGCTCACCAGTTATTATGTACTTTTGAGAGAGTGATGTATGTAAGGTGAAGTTGTTTGCATTTTAAACATGCACAGTGGAGAGAATGTTGGCATTCCTATATACTACTTTCATGTAATGTGGATGAAATTGCTTTGGATATTGTACTTTTGGAAATTTTAAATGAGCTTAGGACACTGCGAACTAAAATGACTGCTCCCTTGTGCTCCAAAAATCAACCAACATTTGTCTAAAGTACACTATACTTGGCAGCTATTAAAATATGGAAAATTAATTTTGCCAAAGTAGATAATACGAGCTTGTAAAAGTGCAATGACTGAATTACCAAATACATAAAATGTTAAAAAAAAGTTATCGGCTCATTTTTTTACAATTTACCTCTGAAGTTCGAGAAGTGAAGATGAGCAAGTAGAGCTAGCACTTTTTTGAAAGATGCACATCTGCAGTAAGGCCAAGCTGTATACTCTCTAACCCATATTACACCCATCAATCATACATCAAAATAAAGGGAATTAAAGGTTCTTTGAACAATACCTAAGATATACAAAGTCTCATTTAAATAGCCAGTATAACTAGTGAGGAAACCAGGGGAAACTCTTTTTCTTTAAAATTTTCACCCTATGCTAACTACAAAACTGTAGAGCGCCACCATAAGCATTCCCAAATATTTATTTTTACACGTGTGAATATTTTTCTGAGCGAATACAAATATAAATGTATCAAAATGTTTTATTATGGTGCTATTCTGCCTAGTGGTACGCCATTTATCGATGGTATCCACCTTTATTTACTGTTTCACTCCATAGAAGTATTACCGGTATGGATTTTGGTGGAACAGTCTGGAGGTGTTCCCATTGGTCTCAGTCACCAAACCTGCTTTCGCGAAGTTCACAAACCAATCTAACGCCTACACAAACTATTTGACTCATTTGGAACATCACTGGCACATTCCGTGAAATCTTGAAGTAACCTCGAATGTAATTCGTCGACACTGAGAACTGTATTTTGGACGATTTCATTCACGTGCAACAATTTGACGGAAGAAGACAAAACCATAATCAGAACAATCTCGGCCTTAGCCGTTCTAACATTATTGGTGCACTCCGGCAGAGGCGATTTAAAGATAACATAAATTGATATGTATTCCAACAACTACTTCCGAGCTAATTTCATGAACTGATGGAGATAGTTTATAGATGTTCCGATTGCATTTGACCATATTGTTAAAGCTTCATTTTGAGTTGCCATTTGCAGTCATGTTTGAGCTGAAGTTTAGCTTATAACTATGAAAAATTAACAATTACAGAGATGGCTAAAATAGAAAATTATCAAGTTGTATTCGTTATCTGGAAGTTTGTTGAGTTTCTTCCGTAGAGTCGAAATTATTCGACTTTTATCGGAGAGAAATGACCATTCAATTGTACTACCAAACTATATACCAAACTTCGTAGCATGACATAAGCGATTTTAACAAAAAAAACTCTAGTAGTAGATCAAGAAACCCGTTGAAGCCTAAACAAATTAGGCTACTGTGACTGATAGAGTCAGTCTCACGAGAATATCCATCAAAATAACGCCCTGAGAAACAAATAATACAATCAGCCAATCAAGACAACCTCCAGTATTGTCAGCCGAGCAATGCGAAGGAAACAGCGCAAACTCAGCAAACTGGGTCTACGCTGGCCTTATGCTGAATGAAGTGCGAAGCTAATTATAGAAAAACAAATAATCACTTAAGATATCTAGACTAGAGGCACTTTACTACGAGTGTGGTTATATCGCACATTTTTTAATCCCATGAGAAATAGTAAACCAGTGCCGAATTGATGAAATGTCAACTTTAGGCTGAACAGATTAAGTTATTACTTCTTAAAATGCATCTCCCCAATACCAGCAGCGTGCTTTATGCAGTGACGTCACTAAGAGAATCAATGAGAGCGCAGGGCTCCTAAAGTTGTAAATATCAAGGAAATCAACAGTTTTTAAAAGTCTGTCCTTGTGGAAGCTAATTGTTCGCAATGGGGGTAATTTAGTAAAGGTGTCGGGGTGAAAAGACAAGTCACAAACACTTTGGATTCCATTTATTTAACTTGTAAAGTAATTACAAAGTTTATAATAGATTGAGATGTCAGAGACTTGACGCCTGTAAATTAAAAGAGTAAATAGGCAAATGAACAAAAATTATTAAAGGTCTTCCAAAATTCAGGTAATGTCAGAGTTAGAATTACAGAATTACGCTATGCTGAGCAAAGTAATGGAAATGTGTTTAGAACTGAGATTGAATACTGACGTCGCAATAAGTAAGAACACGATTAGCCATCTTTCTCAGACTTCCATTTATTTTGCATTTAAGTTTTAGTGCTGGTAGCCATGATGCCATGTGATCTGTAGCATATTTGAGAGGAACTTACAGACATGGTACTAATTTACGCGTTTTTGTGTCAGCTCGGGGATCATTTTTTATGGCTTTGTTTACTAGGTACTCTCAAATAGTTATTCTTTCCGACTGATCATCAGCCATTAGTTATTATTTCAAATTGTTTGAATATATACTGAAGGTGGTAGAGCTGTGAAAAAACTTATAGAATCTTCATGTTGTGTTTTGGGGTCCAATCTATTATTACGTGTATTTGCTAAAATTCAGAAAATCGTTATCCAGGTTAGCAAAGAAGGGGAAGAGAGTCAATGAAGGAAAATTTTGAGCTTAAAGTGTGACAAATGCTATTCCATTAAATGATCTGAGATTAGGAAAAAATAACATATTAAAATAGGCCCGGAATACTTTTACAAACCATAAGAACTGTTAGAAAATAATAAGAATCAAGAACGATCAAAAACCCTGATTTTGCACGATTTGATTGCGTAGGCTTGAGACAAATCATAAGTTTGCCAAAGTTTTCTTTCCATTTAAAGATGAATCAAGCCCGAAGATGTATATAACTTTCAATTTTTTAGAATAAAATGGCAGATTTATCTTTCTAGAAATGTTTAAAATTTATAAACAACATTAACCTCACCAAATCACTGATATATATATATATATATATATATATATATATATATATATATATATATATATATATATATATATATATATATATATATATAAATATGTGTATATATATGTATATATATATAAATATGTGTATATATATATGTATATATATATATATATATATATATATATATATATATATATATATATATATATATATATATGTGTGTGTGTGTGTGTGTGTGTTTGTGTGTGTGTGTGTGTTTGTGTTTGTGTGTGTGTGTGTAAAACGATCTTTGCTATCTAATTCATGAGTAGTCAGTGTTGTAAGAATGACGTTTGGTTGCAAAACAAGAGATGCAGTGTGGGTCGGCAAAAAGTTCTAACAACTTGTAATCGCCTTTCTCACAAAAACAAAAAAGTTCTCATACATAGAAAGTAGAATTGTGGGCCTACATGGGGCATGGCGGACTTAACATCATGCCGTAGGTTTACATTATGGATATATGTGGCTCAAAAAGGGATTTTATCATTATGAATCAACGTGGGTCATAACAGGAATTTATTGTCTACATGTTTAAGCATTTAGGGGTCATAGGACGAATAAACCTGATGGGTTGATATGGGGCATAAGAAAATTAAACATTGCGCAGCTATATTGAAATATATATATTGGAAAAGAGGAAATGCAATGTTAAAATTACATCTAGTATCCAAAATGCCGTTTTGAGTGACCAGAAACTAGTTATCTACCTTCCAAATATCTACCAAGCATCGAGTGGCATAGTGGTCTAAAGCGCTCTCCGTTACAGATCACTGCCATCTCACCTCTGTCTGCGTGGGTTAGTCTCGTGGGTCGGTAGTTCTTTCCGGGGTTTTCCCGGGTTCTTCAACCACCTTTAATACTGGTCGCCATGTATTATCTATCGATGTACTGAAATATGGCGTTAAGCACTACAACAACTATAACAAGTCTACCTCACATTTACCAGTAGTTTATTATTCAACACCCCACACCTACAATTTCAGCACGTCGTTGTAGTGGCCATCTTCCATTACTTTGTTTAGAGTGACAAAAACCTAGTAATAAACTATTCATCACATACAGACTTACTATCCAACACTCTACAATTTATCTCTGTGATTTGTGTCATTTAGATTTTTAATAATTTTTCAGTCTTTTCGCTAGGATATCTTCAGTGTGGCAATTTAGAGTGATGTCTAGCACTGTGGCATTATGCCGCACATATGTAGCATGATGTTCTTCCGAGTCACATTATTCTGACACAAGGCCGGCCAGTCTTAACACTAACTCTTAATGCTGAGCGCCAAGCGAGGCAGCTGCACGTACCATTTTTGCAAGTTTTTGGTATGACTCGGCCTGGGATCGAATCCACTAACTCCCGCATCCGAGGAGGACGCTCTAACCACTAAGCCATCGGAGCGGTCTATTTTTTCTCTAACACGCCATTTGGAGTAAACAACACCCCAGTCATCTAATATACATCACCTCAGTCATATTATCCAAACTTGGATATGTTAACAACAAAACTGTCTGCTAATGTTTAACAATAATACTTACTGTTAACCACTGGCTTATATTATCCATATAGTGATAGAATTCAATCTAGGCTAAGGAAAAAGAAAACAGTATTACAAATTTTAAACCTAATATCTGACAAATGATATACTTTACCACAAAGTTTCCGTTATAAATGTCTATAAAAAGCTATGTTTCTGAATGTGTGTAAGCAGAAATATGTTTATCCATGTATGATCACTACTACCCATTGGTTAGTAGATCGATGGGTGATGGACAGTAAATATAGGGATTTAGGGTAGTATATTTGGGGTGATACATAGTAGCTGACTGAATGATATTGACTCAAAGCGGTGTGTTGGACAATAAATGTGGGAGTTATGGATCATACATGGCTGTGTGTTTGTCACTATAAACGCCATGTTAGAAGATAATAATGTATTGATTACTACAACGGCTTATTGGATAGTAGTTGTCTCATGTTGAATAGTAGATACCTAAGTATTGCTGACTAAAACGGCATGTTGGATAGCAGGATTCACATGCTGTATTGTAAACACCTAAGTAAAGATCACTACGACGACTTTTTGGAATGCAACTATAGGGTGTTTGATAGAAGGCGTTTGGTGATATATGGTAAATGAGTGTGTTGTGTGTGTTTGATAGGTTACTAGGTGTTGGGCTCTTAAAACAACTGGTTAGGTAGTATTAAGATTAAATTTATCTTTATTCCCCATATTTTTCCACATAGAAGTGTAAAGTTAAATTATCTTGTGCCCATATTGATCCATACTATTAAGTTCCCCTTATGTTCCAAACATTTTTCGGCATCCTGTTATACACAACATCTTGTCATATTTACTTATGTCATAAATATTTCAAAATGTTAAATTCACCTTATACCTCACAGCAACCGATCATGTTAAATTACACTATCCCCATAGAGAATCCTACATTTAAATTCTCTTTATGCCTTATAGGGGCTAATAATATAAGCCTGAGGCGTAATGTCAATTTCACTATGTTCCATATGGACCCTATTTACTACTGAAATTTGTTTCTAACAGCCGAAATAAGGAGAATATGAGTGTCAGAAGAAGAGTGTAAGTTTCTAGAAGGGGGGTATACATTGGTAGGGTCATATAGCTGTTGCGCACAGTTTGTAAATGTAGCATATAAATCATATATAAATCATATCTTATTCTTGATTCTGGAGTGAAAGGGCAGCCAATGAACTGTGCCCAGCGGGGGAATAAGTTTTCGGTTCTTGATACTCTAAGGACGATCCGAGAAGCACTGCTTTGAATTTTTTTTTTTAATGTCTGGAGTGTTTATTTAGACAAACCAGATAGAAGTTTCACGGAGATGTGTAGTAAAATGTTTATGCTCTATATATGAGCAAACATTACTCAGATAGTGTGCCTAGTACAAAGATTTGTTTATTTTCAGCCGTTGTTATTTCAAAATACCGAGTTCAGTTCATTAATTGCTGCACATACAAAAAACCTGCTGTAAGAAACCTGATCTTTCCGAGCTCTTTTAATGTGGAATTTCACATCAATCAGAATATTATAAATTTTACAGATACACTATGTCACATAACGCCAGATAGACCTTAGTTTGTTTCATGTTAGCTGTTTTAGTAACGGAACAGATAAACTGAATTCATCTATACGCTGCATGTCATAAAAGATGAGTAATGTTCCAGTTCATATAATTGAAATAGATTCATGTACGAACGTTGTTGTTATGATACAAATCTTGTACAGTAGTCCTAACGAATTGATTTAATGGATAATGAAGCCAATTCAAGTGTACGCATGCGTAATGTATATTATTGTATTGGGCATTTAACCGTGTCTCATTTAGTAGAAGGTATATTGCTATCTGTTTTTGTGACCGGGAGTTGGAGAAATGTGGGGTTTCGTGCAACCCGTCTGATCCTGTTGATGGTCATGTAGACTTGGGTGACGGCATTGGTTCACTCCAGTGAAGGACCAAAACCAACTGGTCTGCAGGAAATAAGGATGCTCTAGAAGGATTATTCCTTAGACTAGGAGCCATGTCTGGTAGATCATTCGACAAGTGCTGTTGAACCGGGCATGTATTCTGGTCGTCAATTAGACTCTACGAGATACATATATTCAATTTTTAAATCATTATTATTCCATATCACAAAGGAGTGAAATCATAAATCAATATATATATATATATATATATATATATATATATATATATATATATATATATATATATATATATATATATATATATATATATATATATACGAGTAAAATCAATATTACATGCAACTACTTGTGGATGAAACATACATTATTCACATTTTGTATCAAGTCTATACATTAATCACCCTTAATGATATAACCATGTATTACTCAAATTTGTGTACAAATCCTACACTTTGATTCCCTTGAAGATGAGTCATACTTTGTTCGTATTTGTGTATGAAGTCTTTACACTAATCACCCATTTTTATTGGTTAATATATCAATCATATTTAAGTTCGATACGTTGATTCGTGTTTTGATTCCTCGTGAAGTTACAGTTCTGATTAGTTCCATTTTCGAACCATATCATTTCCTTATATCAGACACAGTGAGCATCATTCTGTTAAATCGAATATTGGACATTATACGCACGAGTATGGTGTCAGATTCAACATCTTGTTCACGAAATTGCTTTCAGCGTCTTCGCTAAATCAAATCCCAATCCGGTTTCATCCTGATACAAAGAGAATTATGAATCTGAGTCTAGAACATCAGTTTTTAACTTTGAATGCTTTATTGAGGAGACTGACTTGCATCCTGGTTCTATTATTTTCTTAAATTTCATATCAATGTTGTTTACTTGAAACATTATTAATTCAGTCATATTGTTTTGTTCAGTTTTCAATTTGTGTGGATTTATTTATTTAAATTATTATTTTCCGGAATTACAAAAATCTTGGACTAAAAATTAATTTATATTTATAGTGAATTCAGTCAAGGACACTTTGTATTATATTATTGTGATACATTAAAAGACTTATAGCTCATCACCACATTCTAGGCCGTTGGCACATTACCACGACTGAGAATATAGACACAATAACGCATTCAATATTGGAACTTATTTTGTAACACTACTATGCGGATTAGGGAGGTCGTTGGTGTTATCCCCTGCCGAGTCGTACCAAAGACTTAAAAAAAATGGTACAAACTGCTGCCTCGCCTGTCGCTCAGCATTAAGAGGTTAGTATTAAGACTGCTGGTCGACCTGGTGTCAGAATAATTTGACTGGGTGGAAAATCATGCTATATGTCTGCGGCATGATGCCTCAGTGCTATACATCATTATAAACTGCCAACCTGCAGAAATCCTAGCGATATGACTCAAATATTGTTAAAGCTACGTCAAAAACCCCAATCGAACACAACTGTAACACCACTGAAACCATTGGAACTTTATACATTAGGACTTTTTTGACAATTTTGGATCTATTTCACAATACTGTACGTTCCTTTTAATTTTTCACTTTGTTTCTATGGCAAATAAATGATTTGTTAAATTTTACAAAACGTATTGGCTTTCGCTCTTTCTGCTACTTAGTTTAGGACAATAGAATTGTAACAGAAAATCAGAGGCCCTCCACAGGATATAAAGTTCTCTAAACTATTTCAGAAAACTTTGTTTGCGAAATTTAAATTCACTTTGTTTTGAAATTTTCTAAGTCCCAGATATTTTAATTTCACATATTTCAGAAATCTGTAGTGAAATCAACAAGCTTTCATGATGTCTTATAAAGTGGTGAACGCTATTTTAAATCCTATCCAAGAAGAGTTAGAGTCATGAAAAAGTAGGGAATTTCTCCAGCTTGCCTGACATGTTATTTTAAGCCAAGACTTCTTTAACGAAGCAAGAAATAAAAATTATGTTGGTCCAATATTTGATGGAGAATAATTGTTTTTGGATAAAAGTGCTTGGTTTGATTAGACAGTCTCTATCTGTCTCTGAAATGAAAGTAAAAGAATTGAAATTAAAACGAAAGATGGGAAGAGTAAAGAAAGCTTAAGCTTCAGAAAGAGAAAGAAAAGACACAATTGGAATTGCAGAAAGAAGAAATAGAAATGCAGTTGCAGAAATAGAAGAGAGAGAGAGAGAGAGAGAGAGAGAGAGAGAGAGAGAGAGAGAGAGAGAGAGAGAGAGAGAGAGAGAGAGAGAAAAGACAGGCAAATGCAGAAAGCGGATAGTGACAAATGCAAATGCGAATGAAGAGATGGTAATTCAGATGCAGAAAGAGAAAAAGAAATGCAGTTTAGACTAAAAAAATTAGAAATGACATGTGGAGATCACCCCACCCCATTAACACGCTAGTTCAGTTATTTTTTGTTACCAAAAATATTTAGTTAGTAGACGCGTTTAGTGAAATAGTAGATCAACAATTCTTCATTTAAAAAATGGCTGAATATGTCAAATGGTTAAAAGAATATTGGATTCTGTTATTACAAAGTACACTTGCTAGTCAAGCTCGTAAAATCTACACTTCACTATCAGAATTAAAAAAGTGATTAAGCAATCTATCTTGAATGGTTGAGCTGGAACATGAAGCATATCGACAAAGATTTAGGAACTGTTAAAAAGAAATTGGATAGATCCATTTCGAAATAGCATTGAATAAGAATAATTGTTTGATAGGTGATGCTCAGCCTTGAAGGTTGGTCCAAGACTACGATAACCTCAAACAACTTGTAACAATTGTGTCCAAAGTGACTTTTAAACCAGCATTGATGAGTAAAAGGTCGAAACCAGATAATGTTGTTCGTATAGCTGACGATTATTCCTTGACTCACAAAGTTTCATTTTTTAATAGGTCATCCTCTCAGCAGTTTTTTGGTAAGACAAAAAGAAGC